TGAATGAATGAATGAATGAATGAATGAATGAATGAATGAATGAATGAATGAATGATTCACTTCTGAATTATGTGTGGAATTGAATGGAGGTTGGCACACAGATTATTCCCAGTATCTGACTCTGATGGTTCTGTTGTTCGTTCTAGTGTGATTTACTTTTTTGGATGAAACACCATACATGTTTATATTCATTTACCATTTTTTCTCTGAATAGAATATGTTCCAGCTACCAATTGGTCATATTGAGATCTCCTTTCAAGCAATGAAAATCAGAAAACACTGCCGTTTTAACATATATTTTAACAATGAGAGGAAGAAATAAATTTTTAAAATGTAGGCATATTTCAGTATATTTTCATCATTTTGCAGCAAAATAAAGACACTTACTTATACCAAATAGCATATATGCCATTTTGCTGTTGTTATAGGTCCAACATGCTCCTTTATGTCCACATTTATCTATAGACCAGAGGGTGCAGGTATGGTCTATTGAGATACCAAAAAGGATCGGACCAGGAATAGTGCCTATAAAGGATGGAGTGATACAAAAGTACTTGAAAATACCAAACATAGATGACTGAAACTATAAAACAGAAAATAGGGATCTGGAGACATTTACGAATGTAAACATAAACATGATCCCAACAAGAAGGCCTCTGCTAAAATCTCAGACAAACTTTTGTGTAAAACCTTATCCCTTAAAGGTTGGCCATTTTTTAGTTCTCCCTCCAGCACCATCACAGGATTTCATAAGAGCTAAGCCATCTCTCAAAAATCTTCAAAATGGCTAAATTGTGAAATATCTGTTTCCTTGGCTGCAGTTTGATTCATAAAAGCTATGTAACTACCAGTGATTGCTTGCTTCACCTTTTCAACCCCATTCAGAAAATAGGTTCGTTTCCTTTTAGAAAATACTATCTTTTGCAGCCAGGTCAAGACCTGGAATCTGTTTTCCTGTTTAACTTTCTCTTCTTGTTCAAGAAAATGGGGCAGAAATGATGCCAACAGTCCCTTGCACCCTCTGTGCATGGTTTCACTTAGTCCAGTTTCCAGGCTAAGAAAGAAGCTAATATATCAGCATGGCCCTTGGGAGGTTAGAGAAAGCTGTATAGGCTTTAGTTGCTTGCTTTAGAGAAGAGAGAGTGAATAACACTACTTTACAAATAGAGGTCTTTGAAAATAATGAATTTATGCTATAGAACTATAACATATTGCAGTATAATTGTATTGTTTGACATTTTGCTATAAAGGAGCAAAACGAGAAGCAGAAAATGTTTTGGGGATGAGGAGAATAGTCTTCCTGTTCTTAGCAGCGTCAAATAACATTTTTTCCTATAAAAACCAAAAATTATCTGGGCATATATGCTTCCTGATCATACCCCCTGAATATAGAAACTAACAACCACAAAAGTTAATTTTTTTAAAATACATGTATTGTTCATTGTAAAAGATCTTAGACATGTCAGCTCAGAAGTAAGGCCCACAGAGTTTGTTAGAGCTTTCCCCAGCTATCTGAAGAAAGAATAATTGAAAGCAAAGAAAACAATATATAGGGGAAAAAATGGAAAATATTTTCTGTAGGTATATTGGAAACTTGGGCTGAAAGCTCTCAAAGAAGAATTTTCAGTCATATTTATGATGGTCACAGCAACCAGGAAGGGATGAATCTCCAATAATAATTTCAATGGTTAGAGTGCAAAACTAGAATAGGTTTTTCTATACTATGCTCTTCATAGTATGTAGTAATTCAAAACAATGGCAATACTGTCATGAACTATTACTCATGTGGGCTTTGGAGAAAAAAAATGATGCCCAACAGCCTTTGAAGAATTCCCAAATTCCTGGTCAAATTTGGTCTGCCCACTGTATAGTCCTTAGACTGACAATATTATTCCTACTGTGAAATTTCTTTTGTCAAGCTTTAAACATACCTAAAATTCGTAGAAACAGCATATGAACACCCAAAGCAAATGATCTGTGATTTTCAGGCACACATCTGTAAATCAAAGTTTGTTTCACCATTTAATAAGATACATAACATCTTTCAACAGATACTATGATATGATTGCTATTTTTTTAACTATGCAATGTATCATGATGGCTGGTGTGGGTCTTCCGGGCTGTGTGGCCGTGTTCTTGAAGTTTTGTTTCCTAACGTTTTGCCAGCACCTGTGACCGGCGGGCTTTGGAGAAAAAAAATGATGCCCAACAGCCTTTGAAGAATTCCCAAATTCCTGGTCAAATTTGGTCTGGGGCTTTGGAGAAAAAAAATGATGCCCAACAGCCTTTGAAGAATTCCCAAATTCCTGGTCAAATTTGGTCTGGGGCTTTGGAGAAAAAAAATGATGCCCAACAGCCTTTGAAGAATTCCCAAATTCCTGGTCAAATTTGGTCTGGGGCTTTGGAGAAAAAAAATGATGCCCAACAGCCTTTGAAGAATTCCCAAATTCCTGGTCAAATTTGGTCTGGGGCAGACCAAATTTGACCAGGAATGCCGGTCACAGGTGCTGGCAAAACGTTAGGAAACAAAACTTCAAGAACACGGCCACACAGCCCGGAAGACCCACACCAGCCATCGTATGCTGGCCGTGAAAGCCTTCGACAATACATATGCAATGTATCCCTTGAAACAGCCAGAAAAAGCAGGGTTAAAAGAAAAGACTGATGCTATAACTTATTAAAAATGTAAATAATGATTCAATAAAATGTTAACATAGTGACTTTCCAATCTTATACAGTGATACCTCGGGATACGAACGCCTCTGCTTGCGAATTTTTCGGGTTACGACCAGCTCTGGCCCCAAAATTTTACCTCGGTTTGCGAAATCCGCCTCGGGGTACGAGCCATTTTCCACCCGTGCCACGTGGTCTGCGGCCATTTTCTGCCCGTGCCACGTGTGCCGCGGCCATTTTTCCGCCCGTGCCACGTGGTCCGCGGCCATTTTTTCGCCCGTGCCACGTGGTCCGCGGCTGTTTTTCCTG